TGTACATGTATATTTGAGTGTACGTGTGTGTTCCTCTCTTTCTTCCTGAAGAAAAGGAATACATGAAAGAAATAATGCACAATGGCGAGAGAGAGAGAGAGAGAGAGAGAGAGAGAGAGAGAGATGAGGGGCTTGAAATTGCACCTCACATTTCCTAAGAATGGGGAAAGCCCTTCAGCGCGCACTCAGCCAATGTTACACACAAATAACACTTCAGACTCATCATCAAACTGAGAATCTCCATCAAGACTTGAACCCTACCCCTTTTCTTCCACAGCTAACGTTACGACTTGTCATCCCCTGGCTTATCCTCGCTATCGGCGTTCCTGCCAATCTAGTGGCACTCTTCACGATGCTGAGGATGAAAAAGTCCACCGGAACTTGCTACGTCGCGCTCCTAGCGGCGGCAGATATGACCAATATCTTGGTCGTCTGTCCTCTACAAATTTTTGGATTTGGCCAAACGGATGCGCTGTGCAAGGTATCTATCTTTATTTCCTCGATTCTTGTTCATTTGATTGAATTTCACATTACTACATAATAATATGATGGCGGGTGGGATCTGTACACAATTATTTGCAATGGACTGGCTTACGAACGAACATTTGCCTTGATTTGAGTGTGTTACGTACGAATAGTAAAAAATCTCAGATTTGGTTTGAGCGTATAAGGTTGGACTCAAAAGATTAGATTAGACAAATCAGATATAATGCTTTGAGTGTATTATCAGATTAGCTTGATTAGTTTGCATTTAGAAATGATTGGATTAGTCAGATCTCGCCTCTTAAATAATAACATAATAATGTCGATAGGGCTGTCTTTCCGCACAGATCTCAGCACACATGATTATTAAATAGTACGAACCCCGACATTAGTCCCCACCTTTGGCAGCATGGATTTTTCCCCCACTAATATACGTGTTTTACGCCCCCATCGATACGATTTAGATCATTTGAAAGCGGGCTTCGGCCCCAATTGTCAGGGCCAGCCTTAGCTGAGAGAAACTGAACGTCCCACCAGAAAGATTGAGATACTCGATGAAAAAATCCTACCCACCCTGGAAGCTATATCACGTGTCCTGTGTACGATTGGCAATTAAATTGGCTAACCGCTACACACAGAGGCCGGTACTACAGTTTTTATACAGAGAGCTACAGCTAAGAATAGATCCTTGTAAAGGGACGAACAATGAGGTAATAATAATGTATTGTATTATTAGAGATGTCCTTGAACACTAAACAGAACTCAGGCTGGGTGCTGCGAGAGGACCGAGAAAGTCAAATACTAGATACTGTAGAGTGTCATTTTGGAGTGTGAGTCCTCAGTCATAAGGAATACAAGACCATGCACTGTCACTTTGACTTTCAGCACACTTCCATCTCCCAGTTTCTCGACCCCTTCCAGTTTTGTTTTTCTTTGATCGATATTTCTTTAGATCCTTATGTTGTTGTCTAGGGGGGGGGAGGGGTTGTTTGTTTGTTGTTTATTTACTCTTTCCTTTATCGGTTGTGGACTTCTATCTCTCTTTTTTTCTTCTTTTTCTCTCAATTTTATTCTTTCTTTTACCCCAGTGATTGGACCTTTCATCATTTTGCTCTCTTTCAAGTTTTTTTCTACATCATGCCTTACTCCTTTCCCTCATAATTAGTTTTCACCTTCTTTCTAAAGACAGAAAGAAAGAGAGGAACACACGCACACTCAAATACACACGCACACGCAAATAAACGCACTAACA